TTAAAATCAATACTTTGATTGGTCTAAATCTGTTTTTGTTCTCTTTTTATATCTATCTATCTCTATCTATATCTCTATCTATATCTCATTTCTTATTTACCTATTTTATTGCTTTAAATGAGATTAATTTATTCTTTGTTGCTGTTGATTCTAAACAGATTACGTTGACACCTTCATATGCAGTTGTCCCTTTGCTGGTAGGGACTTTGGAGGCAACCAGATGGACACGGGGATTTTAGGTTTTTCTAAATAAATCCGTTTGTTCAGAGATCTCCAGTCTGGAAATGGGACCTCGTTCTGTACAACTCAACAAAAAGGATCATTTTTTTTACTTTGCTTTAGAAACTTCATCTGAATGGGACTGTGTCATCAATTGTTTCTTTTCCCATGCAACTTTTTTATCTCTATGCAATTTTCTGACCATCTAGCTGGTCATAAAAAAACTGGGCTGAGACTCAGGAACCCAGACCTCCTTCCCCTCCCTCCTATTTCCTTTCAGTTCAGCCATTCTACTAGGACCACCACGTTTGCATCCTGTACATGTTGTAGAAACTGTTTTATACAATTTTAAGTAAGGGAATTATTGGAGGCACAATCGCATAGAAAAACCTGTTCTATCGAAATGCTTTGCCAACGTAGAAGACTGTACAGTCCGTCTTGTGCTGCCTGTATTACCCTTACATGCTGTAAAGAGTGGCCCATGCATTTCTTTCATTCTAGAGATGTTGCCTTGAATTGGTTACACCTATAGGATTTAATGTTATGAATATCTAATTTAAAGAACAAAAGACAGATCTTTAATGTACTAATACTCAGTTGATGGATGTTGACTTGAGAATTAACCTGCTAATGTGTTTGTGTTTAAGAGTTCCCTGTTTTCATGCAAGTTCTCTTCTGTCACTGTAGTTTGAATATGGGACAGATGAGGTTGGAACAGTCTGAACTTCTGTATGACATTATCATCAACTGTGAAACCGTAACGTAGGCTATGACTCTCAAAGAGGCGCAGAGGAACATTTAGTGAATGTTTGCCACGATTCTGTGTTTCGCACCATTTTTTTTTTTTTTCTGACCTCGAATGAGAACTTTCATAATGAAAGCTGCTCTTATCACAATACAGTTAAATACAAATGTGCAATAAAGTTGTGACTTTTGTGAGTGGATTGTGTTTTTTATCCACAGTTTTCATATTTGTACACGTACCTTTTTTTAAAAAGGTTGCTTATTTTTCATTCCTCCTTGTCAGATAGCTTAATAGATATTTGACCTATGCAGCTAAGCTTCCAACTAGAAGTAAAATGTGTAAGATTGAGAATGAAAATAAGGGTTTTTTCTGTTTCAACCAAGATTCCAAAAACAAATAATACTTAACGGTGGTTTGTGTGCAGCTAGGGCCTGGGTGATGCCCCTCCCTTTATACTTTATACCTCTCCAAATATCCATACTGTTCTGCAAACCCAGTAGCTTTGTAATGTGACAGAACTATTGAAAACTAAAACAGTAGTGCTCTGATATTTTTTTTAGCTATTATACATGGACTTTTTAACAGAGGGGTTGATTGGTAACTAGATAATTTAGGCCAATTCTCAATCCCAAGTTAGTCATGTTAGGAAACATTCTAAAATGCTCTAGTATTTATTTTCTAAAATGAAATGTGTATGGTATGTCTAATGATATGTTGGTTATTAATGTCAAGGTCTACATAATTGTTAAAAAAAGTTAAAGTAAATTCCGAAGTCAGTCACAAATTCAGTCTAGAAATTCCGATCCCTAAATCAAGCATGTGAAATTGCACATTTTGAAAAGCAAAAGCGAGATTTCTCTTCTGTGAAACATTTTCAGCATTTAAATCATTTTCACAATGTTGAAATTCTTACACTAACAAATGACTAATCTGTTTACTGTTATTTTCAATTACAGTAACCATATTTTCATTTATAGTATTAAAATCAATACTTTGATTGGTCTAAATCTGTTCTTCTGAAACAACACAAAATCGTGTCATTAAGTGCAGTGATTATGGAGGACCAAAAGTAAAAGGACCAAATATAATTGTATGTTGTCATTAACAGGTTAGCAAAAATACCAACATGCGTGAAATATTTGCTCTAAAGGAAACTACTTTAAAAGCTATTGACCTGTACTTACCGTATACACCAACTGGAGTCATAAACCTTTAATATGTGATTTGATAACTACATGATCATCTGGAGGATAACAGCTTATTTCTATCTCCAAGGAATCTCATGTTTAACCAAAAACACAGTCAGCACTTTATAAAACATCACAGGACTAAATTGCTGCACTATAGCAGAAAACCAAACACCAATTAAATGCACTAAGATTAATGGGGGGAAAAAAGAACATAAGAAAAATCAATATAGAAAATAAAACAAAATCAACCAACACCAAGATCCTGTTGAGTGTGAAGTTGGACCGCCTGTCTCTCTTTTTGTTCAAGCTCTCTCTAAGGGCTGTGGAAAATGATTTTAGCTCGTAATCCATCTGTTTCCATTGTAAACACATTTAAATGCAATATCTTAACATAAATCCTTAAAAATTCCTGAAACTCGAGCAGGTTTACTCTAACATTACATTAAAAAAAAACTATCAAATTAGGTCAGTTTTTCTAGTTTTTGTGCAGTCACTTCAAATTAATATATATATATATATATATACACACAGACAAATAAAAAGTAGTTTTTTTGTTTGTTTTTCCCTTATCCTGTGTGCGTAAATTGGAAAATAAAGGTATTTAGTATCTGAGCCTGAGTGTAACTAATTTGCAATGTAATAGGTTTTACTGATTAAATTTTTTTTGCGCACAAAGGAAAGTAAACAAAACAAAGCCTATGTCAAATCTTAATAATTGTGCACAGAAATATATTTTAAAGCCAACAATATAAAAATCAATCCCCCCAACATCCTTTTGCCCAAATTAATAAACATATAATTTATGAAAAAAGAAAAGAAGTAAATTTATTTGTATGTAATCAAAAATGC